GCATGCACTCAGCGCGAGCGATCACAGGAAAAACAGGGGCGGTGGATAGCGATTTTGCTACAGCATTTTGTTTTTAAAAGTGTAGTACCGTAAATTTTGCTGATAGTACTAAACTGGTGAATATTTCTATCTGTGTACGTTTGTTAATAACTATTTATGGTATTCCAATCTGATGTTTCAGATTCCCCAACCTCGTGATGGTAATGCAAGGCTATGGAGCCACGGAGTTGACACTGGGAGTCCTAGGTTTCTTCCCAGACAGTCTTAAACTTGACAAGATCGGCAGTGTAGGAGTCGTTGTGCCTAATGTTGTGTTAAAGGTAAGTAAAATAGTTAAGGCAGCTAATGTAACCAATCTATCGATGAACAAAATTATTGAAAAAACAATCAATCAGCCCATTTGTTTCATATAAATAGAACTCGTAACTTAAAATGCAATTCGATTTAAAAAAAAAACATAATCCAGAAGCCACAAAAAGACAGGTCGATATTCGCCATCGACAATCACGGCAGCATATTCATCCCCATCATATGTGCGCTTCTCTCGTAGCTTTTAGCCTCGCACATCAAAATTGTGAAATGATCGGTCGTCGGCGGTATTTCCGAACCGATACGACCTCCAAACCTTCAAGAAAAAAGCGTATTGCTTTTTAAAGGGCCGGCAACGCACCTGTGACTCCTCTGGTGTTGCAGGCTTCCATGGGCGGCGCTGATCGCCTATCATCAGGTGATCCGTTTGCTCGCTTTCTTCCTATTCCATAAAAAAAATTAAGCACCCCCCATTTGATGTCAGGGTTCAAACACCCAATTTAGCCTTCAATCCGAATACCATGATCATTCTTTCTTTGCATACCCCGTTGATAAAGATCCTTTACCGACAGCCACTAAAAAAAAAAAATAATAAATAAGCTTTATTGTACAACAAGCAAGTAATTACACATATTCGGAAATTATAAAGAACAAGGAGGGTACAAGGGCGGCCTTATCGCTAAAAGCGATATCTACCAGGCAACCTTTAATAAAAAAAACTTCACATAAGACATTTTAAACCTGTCCGTTTTCCAGGTAGCAGATATAGAAACAGGCAAAGCACTAGGACCTTATCAGCGTGGAGAACTATGTGTAAAGGGAGAACTGCTGATGAAAGGATACCTCGGCAGGGAGAAAGGTGATGAACTGGACAACGAGGGCTTCTACAAGACTGGAGACATTGCATACTATGATGATGATGGCTACTTCTTTATAGTGGACCGACAGAAGGAGCTTATCAAGTATAAAGGGTATCAGGTCGGTGTGACATTTACATTGACATAAAGAAGAAAAGTAATAAAATGGTTTTTAGAAGAAAAATGGAGGCGATGTGCGATTTTGATGGTTATGTTCATGAGACCCGTTGTAAAAGGGGTGATATGGCTACGTTAGTTGACATTGGTAGCAAAAAATTACTATTACTGAAGACTTCGGGCTTGAAATAAACTGCACGATTGTTGCAGTGGCTGGACAACCGCCTGCCGTGCAACATGTAGCAGGTTCTGTTCCCGCATTGAGCAACTCTTTGTGTGATCCATAAATTGTTGTTTCCGGTCTGGGTGTCATGTGTGTGTGAACTTGTAAACGCACCCACCTGCAAAATTCTAAGGGCAACGTTCAACAAAATCTGGTCCCTCAGTAAACTAAATCGAAAATCCAAATTAAGAAACTCTTCAACCACAACCAACCCAAAAAACAAAAACCTTTAACCCTATTCCACAATCTTCAACCAGGTACCACCAGCAGAGTTAGAAGGAGTCTTACTGCAGCACGAAGGTATCAGAGACGCAGCAGTGATAGGAGTGGAAGACAGAGCTGCAGGGGAGTTGCCTCTAGCATTTGTGGTGCGGCAGCCAGGGTCAAACGTCACGGAGAAGGAGGTCAAAGACTTTGTGGCCGAGAGGGTGAGTGGGGAGAATGTCGAGTCTTTTGATCCTCGAAAAGATTGGCAGAACCAGACATGGTGTCAGTTTTTATCAGTTATATTATGAATCCCGTCTAATTTTGGGCAAACGTATTGTCATTTGACCTCTTATCTGTTGGTATGTGGGACACCGTAGAAAACACATTGTTTTTTTTTATATTATATATTGTCTCGCGTATCTAAGTTCCGACAATCCAAGGGTTAAGTGGCATTATTAAAACTCTTTGCTGTTAACGAACAAATATTGTCTCTATATTTATCATTGCTTCATACTCAAAGTGTACATACATTAGATGGACTAGAATCTAGTCCATGATGTCATGGGCATTAAGTCACTAGATGGACTTAATGACGCATGCATTTTCTCCCAGTCTGACCTTTAAACAAAGCAAAAAATCTCTGCTAAATCACCCAGTTGTGCCATCAAGACTTGATGGCCAGCATTTGGCATGACCTGAGGTTTCAGTAGAGATAAACTCCTCTTCTAGTCGCATTGAGGTCTCTGATACTCCCACGTTTACATCCATAGGTACGTCAGCCTTAAGACTTCGCTCTAGACTTGCCAGTGACCTCTCAATGGGATCAATGTATTGCGACCCATCCATATATCTAAGCCATTACTTGGTTCAATTTTGGGTGATGCAGAGAAGAGTAAATGGCATTAGCAAGAAGCAAAAACGATTTCATTGAACAAAAAGAAGAACTATAATCCTTCTGGTGGACTACAATCATTCTCTATATAAGAAGGATACGATATATATACATATTTTTGTGTTATTGCAGTTATCGAACCCGAAACATTTGCGCGGTGGAGTACGGTTTGTAGAAGAAATACCAAAGACACCCAGCGGGAAGATTATGAGAGCGAAATTGAGGAAAATGTTGAATTCTAAGACTAAGAGTAAATTATAAATATCACGCTTATTCCATAAAGCGATGGACAGAGGTGTATTTATTTCGATTTGGTGTTTGCATGTTTTGTTATCAATTACTCGCTCCGCTTCTGTGGAAACGCACCCTTAGTCGAGTCGAGAACACAGAGTTATTTATTCTAGACTACGTGTTAATATCCAGAATTCTCGATTTTGTTGGAAAACCACGATAATATTTTATTCGAATTCGACCCTGGAATTGGACCTGAAACTTAGTGATCGACTCGTCTAACGAGATCAATGACTTTCAAGTTTTTCATGTATGGATTTAAGACAATACACCTTTGCCTGCCTTTTCTGTAGAAAAATAGGGATTTTTTTTAAGGGGTAAAATCATCGAATGACTGCTACTGCCTGGGTGAGGCGGGAGGGAGTGTTAGACTCTACCGACTAAAAACCACCCCGTTGCTTCTCCTGTACGTCGAGCCGGAGCCCCGGTAACCCGTTAGGTTCTCCGCGACTCCGAATCGGCATCGGCCCTGTTGGGCCCCGTCGGTGGTGGTCTGATGGTTCTTTGAGGCGCGCGTGGAATGCGACGCGCCGTAGAAAAATAGGGATAAGTCATTGTTAATCTTTGATACTCAATCAAAATCAGTATACAGATACACCGTGAAATCTATTTTGTTTTCGTCCCGCTGCAAAAGAACTTGTCATAAGAAATACTTTCGATGTATGAAGTAAAAACAAAAAAATAAACATGTAATTATTTTTAGTTAAAAAATAATGTCATGGAAATACGCACACGAAACACTGGACGTAAATTTGTAGGCATAATTGACTTTGCACGTGCCACCCCACAAGAAATACCTCTTCGTGGCGTGATGATTTTATAATGTAGGTACTATGAGTTCGTATGTGCTTTCGAAGTTTGCTCCTTGCAATGGTTCACCAGTTATTTTTAGTTTTAAACATTTTATTTCTTTGTATTACCAAGACAAAAGCATTTTACTTCGGGAAGAAAACGAAATAGATTTCACGGTATAAAGAATGTAAGTCTTATTGTTAAAGATATAAATTAATTATTATTTAAATAAAACAAAAAATGTATAAGTATTTTAATTTTATTTGTTTCCTATCTTTGCCTTACCTAATAATTGTTTCAAATCAAGTTACAATATACAAGGTGTTGTTTTAAAGCCGCGTCATTTTTTAGGAGGTAACTCGGTTATCGCTTCTGAGACCGAATCAATAAAAAAATTGTAGGTAAATATTTTTCATTTTTCTGTAAATTACGGAAATTCGTAAGTGCGAATCTACACGCCGCCGTCTTGTAACTAGCTTTATAACGCGGCTCAACACACACAAACTCAAACACTTAATTATTATTATTCCTAATTCCTGTCGTTTTTTCTGAAATACTGTCCAACTGAAACGATTTATTTTAGCCGTATTTTTAACTATTGGCCGTATTTTTAACATATCTCGTCGTACGGACCCTGTGGAATCTAGAAAATAAAACCTGTGCGTTTCGGCGTTTATCCAAACCTACCATTGGAAGCAAGTATAACATCTCACACATAGGACCCACTTAGTTTCCGTGGTGCTTAGCGACTGGGGTTCTCCCAGTTGTACAGTCTCTTTTTGTGCCTTTAGGCTTAATTCATTCTTTCACCTGCAGTAATTCACGGAGGAAAGTGGAAACTATTGTATTTTTTCTTCTTCTCTTATAATATCTTCTGATTTATTCCGTTGCGGGTGCCCAGACAGTTATTCATGTCCATAGGACGCGCCAGACTTCAGTGTTCCGGTGTTTGCATGGTTGTATTTACTGTAGATCGCGCCTTACAGGAGTGGCAGCGGTTTTGAGAGGTAACGGCGGGCTTGCCCATTAAAAAAAAATATGTTATATCACATCGTGACATGAATTTATATTACATCCTTATCCTTAACGGTCACGCTGCGTCACTAATAGTCAAAACAGTTGTGAACGTATCTTTGTGACATAAGGATGTGCCACTATCCTCTTTCTAAAAAAACGGAATAACCGTTCGAATAACACAGTAGACTTGAAAGGTGTTATGTACCAACGTATTACTAAATGGTTACGTAAACATTTCACTAAACTTGACTCTCAAAAATATTCGTCATTCGCTCCCCTCGAGCCGTGGCGAGCACAGATCAATTTACTTTCAGTTTTATCGACGATTCGACGAACCATTAACAACGGTTCGTCGAACGATTCAAATTTTTAAACAATCAAACGCTATTCTTAAGGGTTGCTATTAAAAAAAAAACATGTATTTTTTAACAAAAGTGCCAGTGTTTCTGATTCTACTTATCAGTGATTCAATCTGTGATATCGATTTAGATGTAGTCAATAAGAATTTGTACGATTCAAAAAACTTTCTGCACAAAAACACTAATGCGGTGCTTTCGAGGATTTTAGAAGAGAACAAGTTTAATTCGGACGTCGTTAATAGTGTTGGGACTAACAGTGACGTAGTGAACAATTACGAAGATATAACGATTCTTGATGACAATGGTAAATTGAAAAATTTGAAGTTCAAATCCGCTGCGCCTAAACAGCCGGTTGATTTGATACACAGTGATTTGACTTTGACTAAAGTGAATCAAATTGAAGTGCCAGTTACTGAACAGTATGAGGACGAAGTGAAGTTTGAAGCTGTTGGTCAAAAACCGAAGTTCTTCGACGAATTGAGTTCGTTGGGATGTAAGTACAGACTTAGAGTAATAATTCATTGAATACGAAGAATGGTATGAAAGAAAATGAATTACTAATTATGTTTTTGGCTTACAGACGTACCTTTTTGACGAGGAACTCGACTAGTTTCGAGCCTTGCCAATTAATTTAGTAAAAAATGTATTGGTTATAGATATGGTTATTAGAAAATGAATAGGTTTTAGTACGAACGTATTACATGTGGCTATTTTCTGTGTGTGTGTTTGAATTGTATTTGTTTTCTTTATTGTTTTGTCTGTTTATTGTGCTTACTAACATCTATACATATACATATAACTAGCTACTTCCGCGCGGTTTCACACGCACTGCTCAGCTCCTATTGGTCGTAGAGTGATGTTTTATAGCCTATAGCCATCCTCGATAAATGCGCTATCCAACACTAAAAGAATTATTCAAATCAGACTTGTAGTTATGGAGATCAGCGCGTTCAAACAAACAAAAAAACAAAAAAACTTTAACTAGCTAAACATAAAGGAATAAAGAAGGAAAAATCTTTACAACTATTAGGTACACATAATATACACAACATCACGCCTTTTATCCCCGAAGGGGTAGGCAGAGGTGTACATTATGCCACTGTACAATGTAACACCTACTTTTCACTATTTATGTTATGATTACGAGTCTCATGTAATAGGAGGCCTATTGCCGTATACCGGGCACAAATACAGACTCCGTGCTACTACTGAGAATTTTTAAAAAACCCAGCATTAATTACTTGCCCGGCAGTCGGACTTGCGACCACTCGGCCCACGAGGCAGTCAAACTACTTAGTAGATAATATTTTATTAAAAGTCCGGCAGATGAACGAAATGTATTCATAATTTGATTGCACCGCCATTTGTTAGTACCACGTTCGATGAAATAATTAGTGTTATGTAATTTTATTTGAATTAATTTGACGTTTTTTCTTTTGTTTTGTTTAAGCAAACTTCAGTATATATCCCATTGCCAAATACTCTTCATAATTTCATACTCCTTTAAGTTAAAAAGACCTGGGTATACGTACTACTTTTCAATTTGAAGTATTTGTAAACTAAAGGTAAGGTAACCTAACCTACATCTCATCACAGTAGGTAGCAACAGAAACTGAACATAGAACTGTGAATAAATATATGTTGATGAAAAAAAATATAAAAGTGCAATTGCTAGAAATAAAATTGAAGAGCAGTTCTACTCTAGTTAGGGCACATTTTTCAATCATCAGGTAATTCTTAACGGTAGAGTGAAATTGACATTTGACGGGGGTGATTGTGCCTCCGGTAACCTCACTCACACGACGAAACACAACGCAAGCGTTGCTTCACGTAGGTTTTCTATGAGGCCGTGGTATCACTCCGGTCGAGCCGACCCATTCGTGCCGAAGCATGGCTCTCCCACACTTAATATATTCACATAATATTCAAAGTTATTCCTGTGATAAAACACGGCCTTTAATAGTGTATTTACAAACATCAATTAAGTAGGTACTAAGTATGGTTTGGCAAAAAATAACTTTACTACTCAAACTCACTCTCTCTGAGTACTCAAAATCAGTAAATATCTATTTAATAATTCATAGCTCTACAATGTTTACATCACAGATATATTAATTAAAGGTTTACATTTACCTACACTTGTATCAAACGCACGAGGGGCTCAGCTAGTTAAATCTTATATTAATAGATGGCGTTGCAATCGCTTATTACTTAGTTGTATTCAACGGTGATTTTCATTCTAATTGAAGGCTTTAAATAACCTGTAACTTGGTGTAAATAAGGTTTATTTTATAGAAAGATAATCTAATGTCACTAAAAGGGGTAGACAGAGGAACACGTTTTTGACAATGTAACATCGACAATTCCAGACTACGTAGGTAAGTACTTTTTAAAGGAGTATTAGTCAGAATTTTCGAAAATGTGTGTGAATAAGTTTCTCAAATATCTCTTTTCTAATATAATTACCGAGGTATGGAGGCGTATGTGTTTGATATTTATTCAAAAACTCGATTTACGACTTTTGTAAACCTGTTTCACAAATTAGTCTCAAACAATTTTAGCTTGTGTTAGGTCCGAAATTTGAAAAAAATCTTGTATTTGAGTAAATACTCTGATAAACTGGTTTTAAGCGATTTCCTCGTTAAACGAGTGGTTGTATGTGCGACTGTTGAGAGGTTTCGAGTGCGATTCCCGGGACAGGCAGACATTATTTTTTACAGGCAGACATTGTTTTCTATGGTATGGTTTTAGACATTATTTTTTACAGGCAGACATTGTTTTC